GGAGGAGGAAGATGAGGAGGAAGAGGAGGGGGAGAAGGAGGAGGAAGAGGAGGAGGACGAGGACGAGGTGGATGAGGAGGAGGAGGAGGAGGAGGACGAGGAGGAGGTGCCTATCTTGGTGGACCTCACGGCTGTCAGCGCCCTGAGCCAGGACGCCTTCGGCCTCGGCCCGCCTCCCGGCGAGGGCGCTGCTGCGGAGGCTGTGGGGCGCCGCAGGTGCGCGCGTTACCCCGTTGCGCCGGTGGTCGGTGGTCCCGCTCGTTATCGAGGGCTACGCCCGCCTGGGCCGAGCAGTGGCGAAGCGTCCTGGCTCGCTTACAGGCCCACCAGAGGATGTTCTGAGGACCTCTGGTGGTCTGCACGAGCTGTTTTCTAAGAACGCTTCCGGCCGAGACTGTCTTGTTTTGGCACCCGGGGTTTGAGTTCTGAGAGCAAAGTTGTTGTTCTTAGAACACCTTTGGGCTCTGCGCACACGTCGTGGTACAGTGCCGTTTTTGATACATGCTCCGCGTGCGGATCATGCATTAAACATGCAGGGATTGTGTTTCAAAAAACAACGATGACTTCATGCATACATTTATTTATACATTAATCAAAATTCAATATGTTTTAAAATCCTATGTGTTAAGAACTGCCCTGTTGGCCTACAGGAATCGGGCCGGGCGAAAGGGGGGGATTGGGAAAGGGGGGATTACGAAATTTGCTGCATGCAGCTGGTGTCGGCCTCACCGAGGGGCCCATTCCTCGATACATGGCCGCCCTCCCGGCGCCGGGAGGCGCCGGGAAAATCAGCTACGTGAGCTGATTCTCACCCCCCCCCTTTGGTATCCCCCCCTTTGGCCCGACCCGAAGCCAAGACCCCCGACGTCATGAATTTTTCATGACGTCGACCCCCAGAGGTCCGGACCCATTCCCCGGGACCGGTTTTTCGTCCTGAGTCGTTTTTTGACGCTCCCGAGGCCCGGTAAGGGCCCCCGGAGGCCGAAAATTAGGAAAAACCTCGCGTCGTGATTTTTTCATTACTCGAGGGGGTCTGGGAGGAAGGCCGTGCCGGTCGGTCCCCGCTCCGCGGGGGGGGGGGAAAGGCGCGGGGCGACGCGGGGCCCGGCTCTCCGGCATGCGCTCTCCGCCAATGCGGGCGGGTGCCTTCGAGTGTCGCCCTGTGGGGCCGACGTCGGGCCCCCGCTGGAGCCAGGCGCAGAGGGATCCTCCTCCTCCTCCTCCTCCTCCTCCTCCTCCTCCCTCCTCCTCCCCTCCTCCTCCTCCTCCTCCCTCCCTCCTCCTGCTCCTCCTCCACCTCCTCCTCCTCCTCCTCCTCCTCCTCCTCCTCCTCCTCCTCCTCCTCCTCCTCCTCCTCCTCGACGTGGAGGAGCAGATCCCCCAGGTTTTCCCATCTATTCTCTGGGGGTCTGCCTCCCCCCGCGCCTCCCGCATGTTCCCCCGTCTTCTGGGGAGGCGACGGCTCCTGGCGTCTGCCCCCCTCGGAAAAATCGCGTGGGGCAGGGGTGTATGGGGCTCGCACGTGGCCCCCCCTATATAGGAGGGAGGGCGGGGAGGATCGACGGGGAGCCAGATCTCCGACCGGGGACGGGGCTGGAGCTGTGCGCCGCGGATTGACGAGATCACGCTGGAGGATATATCATCGGGGGCGGAGAAGAGGGGGGGATGGCTATTTTTGAGCACTGGAGACCTAAAAACCTTTAAACAACTAACGAAACAGCCTAAAACCAAGACGTATAATAGCTCTGGGATAGGTTTTTAGGTCGGGTGCTATTTTTTAGCCCTCCTGGAAGGTCAGGGATCATGGCGTGGGCCATGATATTTCCCCAGATTTCATGGCGCCTCTTCGTCTTTCTTTACGTCCCTGGCCCCCCCGCTGGGCCGCGCACGTGCCGCCGGTCATGATTTGCACCACCCCCTCTTGGACACCCCCCTCTTGGCCGCGCCCGATGTCAGAGGGGGCGCTGCTATGAACTCCTCCAGTTCGCTGCTCGCTCAGCGCCGCTGCTCGTTCGCCGCTTCCTCTCTCTTCCCGCCATCCCTCTCCTCCCTCCTGCCTCCTGCCTCCCACCGGTCTCCTGGATCGCTTCCCTGGGTGCTGCCAACTGCTGTCAAGAGCCCAGTGTTCGCCACTTTGGTGAGCTTTGGGAGGTCCAGCGGGGTGGCGTCTTACGCGGACCAGACGAGACCTCGCCCTCCCCAGGTGCTGCCCATTGCGCCAATGCCGACACTTCTCGTGACGAAGCTTGGCAGGGTGACGTCCTACGCGGACCCGAACGGCTCTCCTATCCTGGGCGCTGTTGTGTTTGAGGCTGTTACCATTTTTGTGAGCTCCTGGGAGGTCCGGCGGGGTGAAGTCCCATGCGGGCCCAAGCGAGGCCCTCCATCCCTGGACGGTACCAACTGCGCAGCCGCTGCCACTTCCGTGAGCTGCCGGGAGGTCCAGCGGAGGGATGTCCCGCGCGGGCCCAGACGGGATCCCGGTCCCCGCCCTCCCAGGCGGCTGCTAACTGCACGGCGCCGTCGCGGCTTCCGTGAGTCCCTGCCGGGTCCAGCGGAGCGGCGCCCCTCGTGGGTCCCAACGGGACCACCCCTCGGTCGGCGCTGCCCAGCGGCGAAGCCGTCGCCGACTTTCGTGAGCCTTGGCAGGCCCAGCGGGGTGACGTCCCACGCGGGCCCACGCTGGACCTTGCCCTCCCCGGGCGCTGCCAACTGCGAGAGCAGTTCCATGTGCGTGAGGTCCTGGGAAGTCCAGCGGGGTGACGACCCACGCGGATCCATCGGGGGGACCTCCTCTCCCTTGGCGCTGCCAGCTGCGCAACCGTCGCCGCTTTCGTGAGCTCCTGGAAGATCTGGCGGGTCGAACTCCGACGCGGATCCAAGCGGGACCTCCCCTCCCTTTGAGCTGCCATCTGCGCAACTGTCGCCATTATCGTGATCTCCTGGACGGTCCAGCGGAGTGACGTCCTACGCGGGCCCCCAACGGAACCTCCCCTTCCTTGGCGCTGCCAACAGTACAACTGCCGCCCCTTTCGTGAGCTCACGGGGAGCCTAGCGGGCTGAATCCTGATGCGGGTCTAAGTCGGCATTCCTTCCCTGTGCGCTGCCAGCTGCGCAGCCGTGGCCGCTTTCGTGAGCTCCTGGGAGGTCCAGCAGGGCCGCTCTTGTGAGGAGGAGGAGGAGGAGGAGGAGGAGGAGGAGGAGGACGAGGAGGAGGAGGAGGATGAGGAGGAAGAGGATGAAGACGAGGAGAAGGAGGAGGCGGAGGGGGAGGAGGCGAAGGAGGTGATTTCTTGATAGCAAAAACGCTTGAGGATGAGTTACCCTTCAGGAAAAAAACATCAATTGCGCAGCTGCCGTCCGTTGAGTGGGGTCTTGGGCAGTCCAGCGGGTTGAAGCCCTGCGCGGATGCGAACCACACCTCCCAGCTGCCCGCTGCGCATCCCGTGGCCATCTTTGTGAGTTTCTGGGCGGGGGCTCCAGCGACAGAACGTCCTGCGCCGACCCGTCCTCCTCGCCCTCCTCCTCGTCCTCCTCCTCGTCCTCCTCCTCGTCCTCCTCCTCGTCCTTCTCCTCGTCGTCCTCCTCCTCGTCCTCCTCCTCGTCCTCCTCCTCGTCCTCTTCCTCGTCCTCCTTCTCGTCCTCCTCCTCCTCGTCCTCCTCCTCGAACGGGACCTCCCCTCCCCGGGCGTTGCGAGCTGCGTGCTGGTCGCCAGTTTCGTGCGCTCCAGGGGGGGGGGGGGGTCCAGCGGGGCGACGGGCCCAGGCGAGCCCTCGCCTTCCCAGGGCGCTGCCAGCTGTGAAACCGTCTCCTCCTCCTCCTCCTCCTCCTCTCCTCCTCCTCCTCCTCCTCCTCCTCTCCCCTTCCTCCTCCACCTCACTCTCCTCTTCCTCCTCGTCCTTCCTCCTCCTCCTCCTCCTCCCTCCTATCCTCCTCCTCCTCCTCCTCCTCCTCCTCCTCCTCCTCCTCCTCCTCCTCCTCCTCTCTCCCTGGGCGCTGCCGACTGCTGCTGGTTTGGGAACTCTCGCTCGCCCCTGAGGTGTCCAGCAGAGTGACGCCTTGCGGGGACCTGCGCGAGACCGCGCCCTCCCTTTGTGCTGCCAGGCGCGCAGATGTCGGCAATCGTGCCAGCTCCTGGGGGATCAGCGGGGTAACGCCTGACGCCTGCAATCTACTTTCTGTTGCGGCGTCGACTCACGTAGATCTCGTAGGGCGCGCATTGCATACTTCGCCCATGGAGTCTGCAGAAGGGGCAGCGAGCATCTTGAACAGTTCACACTTTTCGGCTGATCCCGTCGATGCTGCCTCTTGTTGCAGATGGGTTGGGCACATACCCGGGCCATTCATAAGGAAGGGGGATGTCGGTGGATGAGGAAGATGAAGACAACCCGTAGCAGTAGGAGGAGGACAAAGTGGGGGGGAGAGAATGAGGATGAGGAGGAGGAGGAGCAGGAGGAGGAGGAGGAGGAGAAGAAGGATGAGGAGGAGGCGGGGGAGGAGGAGGACGAGGTGGATGATGATGCTGATGTTGTTGATGATGATGATGATGAGGAGGAGGAGGCGGAGGCGGAGGAGGTGGACGTCGAGGGCGCGGGGGAGGACGATCACGCCTCTGTTGATGATGGTGCTGCTGATGACGATGTTGTTGCTGATGATGATGCTGATGATACTGCTGATGACGATGATGCTGCTGATGATGATGATGATGAGAATGATGATACTGATGGTACTGATGATACTGCTGATGACGATGATGCTGATGGTGATGATGATGATGCTGCTGATGATGATGATGATGCTGATGCTGATGATGATAATGCCGATGCTAATGCCGATGCTGATGATGACGATGATGCTGCTGCTGATGATGATGATGATGCTGATGATGATGATGGTGATGATGGTGGTGCCTTTGTTGGTGATGGTGCCGTTGGTGGTGATGCTACGGGGGAGGAGGAAGGGGAGGAGGATGAGGAGGAGAAGGAGGAGGAGGAGGAGGAGGAAGAGTGTCTCTCGGGTGCTTTGGGGCAAGATGGGGGCTATGGTGCGGTCCTTTACGGCCACCTTGTGAGCTTTTGAGACTGGCATGGCAAACGTGATTTTCAAGCAAGCAGTTCGAAGTGCTGTTGTTCAATTAAGTTGCATTGTACCCCCCCCCCCAGGACTTCCAAAACGGCCCAACAGGCCTCAAACTTACCCTCACCAAGCCCCCGTGGGACAATCCTGGGGTATTCTAAAAGTGTTGGTTACGAGCCACGCCCCAGAGGCTTCGTGGAACGCCCGTGAAGCCAGCCATGGCAGCGCCAAGGAGTGCCCGAGAGCGCCTGCGATATCTGGGGACCACGCCGCGCCTTGCGGCACGTAGGCGGATGCGATCGATGTTGATCGGGCCTTCTTCGGTCCAGTCTGGTTTGTTACAGCTTCGTCAATTAGATATTCGTTTGCGTTTTCTGACGATACATCTTGCTTGATAGGCCCTGGCTCGTGCTTACTACTTGTCCCATCCGATCTTTCAACCCAGAATTCTGCGCAGAAAGACCTCGCATGAGTTGCCACACTAGCAACACGTTACTCCTTTTTGCTCAAGCCATTTTGGCGCAGAGCAGGTTGGTCCGATTTGTTCGGCTCAATTTAATTGCTGAGACTTGCCGCGCCCGCGTTTGTCCTCATGATAGATGTACTGATGGCGTTATGGTATGCGTTGGTAGTGATTCCAGCCGCCGCTTCACCACAGCTGCCGCCGTACAGTGGACCAAAGCCGCCATGGCCGTACAGAGGCTACAGTCGCTTTCCCGCCGTCTGGTTCGGGCAAAACCGCAGTGGGCTTGACAGCGCCACAGAGATGGCTCTCGAGGCCAAGCACCAAATTGTCGGGTGGGGCTGGCAGCAGAATTACAACACAGTGGGGAAATACACAGCGAATCACACCAAAGGTACGAATGGCACATACTACCAGCAAGAGACCTCTCTGGCACAGATGGCCTCCAGGTTTGCGGCTTATCTCGAGTTTTCGCCACCAAGCAATGCGCGCCAAGTGCAGGCCACATTCGTCTATCGCCATATGGAGGTAGCTGAGTATTATTGGTCCCTCGCGGCAGCAGCGTTCCATGATCCGCGTAATGCCGAGATGTTTCTACACAGCGAAGATGGTAAGGTCTGCTGGAAAACCAACGATATGACGGGGCCGTTCTGGAATTTTAGCAATGCGCGGGCCATGGATTGGTTCGTAGAGGAGATCGGCGGGGAGCTTACCCGGGAAGCTGACATAAACGCAGTCTTCTTCGACGAGACAGATTGGTTGTATTGCGGGCCTGTTTTCAACAACTGCAGCCACAAGACCGTCACTGCAGACCAGTACCACCACAAAATCGAGATGATGCGCCGACTCGCTGTCAAGCTCAACGCCGCCGGCATATGGCCCATCTACTCCACATTCAACGGGTTCCAGGGCACAGAATATCGCAACTGCCCCTTTCCTTTCGACGAGTACTATCGAACCCTGGCAGATGTAGGCTGGTTCCGGTTTTACGAGTGGGGCATCGGGAACACCAAGCCTGAGGGCGGGCCGGGAAGTCAGGCTCAGATTCTGCAGGCGTTGCGCGAATCTGAGCTGGGTCTTCCCGTTATTGTGCACGCGTACCTGGACAAGGACGCCAAGCCCCCCAGCACACCGAGGACTCTGCCTTTGGCCTTGTTCCTCCTGGCTCAGACGGACTACTGGTATCTGGGGATCTCTTCCGGCTGGAACGACAAGGACTGGTCCTGGTGGCCGGAGTACGATCAGCACTACGGGAAGCCCCTGGGCCGCGCAACTCAGATCATGGACCCTCCCGGTTGGAGGCGGGAGTTCGAGGGCTGTACCGTCACCGTCACGGCGGATTTGAAGAATGCGAGCATCCGGTTCCACAGCCGCGAGCATGTTCAATTGCTTGTCTGAGCCGGGTTTGGCATAGTAGTGTTGGCACTTTGTACTCAGCACGGCCTCGCTCGCAAGCGGAAAAAAAACAGTTGCCACGCGACACAGAAGCACAGGGGGGATTTTCTGCCGAAGAAGCGTCAGCCTGGCCCAGGAGTTGGAGAAGGACAGTGCCGCCGTCTCGGAGGAGTTCCGCGCCCGACGGCGCGGGAGTTTGCGGCGGTTCGGGGAGCTGAAGGCTGGCATGGACGACCTCTGCTTCGGCAAGCAGAGGACCTGTCGGTGCGCACAGCGCACAGTGGGGCCGGGAAGAGGTGCCATGTATGTCGATATCTACATGTCTATATGTATATGTATATATATATATATGTGTATATATATTGTGTGAGACAGAGAGAGAGAGAGAGAGAGAGAGAACGAGAAAGAGAGAGAGAGAGAGAGAGAAAGAGAGACTTAAAGACACAGATATAGAGACAAAAGAGAGTGAGAGAGAGATGGTGAGAGAGGGAGAGAGAAAGGGAGAGTGAGGGAGAGAGCGAGTGAGGGAGAGAGCAGGGAGAAGAGAGAGAGAGGGAGAGAGCGAGAGGGAAACTTCTTTCACATTTCCCCCGTGTGGGCCTCGATGGGGGGACCTCGTGACCATCGCTGGACGCAGACCGAGGAACAAATTGCTGGGCTGGTCCCCGGGAGGGGTCCGGGAGGGGACCGGCGATCGCAAACATGTATCAGGGGGGCGTGGATCAGCGACGGGTCCCGTTTCCACGGGAAATCGCGGCTTCCCGCCGGCGAACGGGGCGGCACCGGCCGCAGTCTGGGGAGGGCACCTCCCCCGATCCATGGATTTGGCGACCGCGCGCCAAGCCAAATCCATGGACCGCCAATCGTAAGTCGGGCCTGCCCCTCTACAGGGGGGATCTTCAGAATTTGTCCAACAAATAGTCTGGGGACGATTTTTAAAACAATTGTTGAGCATTTGGGGGTATTTTGTTGGCAATTTTTCATTTTTCGTCCACGGATCGCTAATCTGAAGTCGGGCCTGTCCCTCTACAGGGGGAATCTTCAGAAATAGTCAAAGAATTCGTCAGGGGACGATGTTTTAAATCAATTGTTGAGTATTTTTGGAGCATTGTTTGACTATTTTTCAGTTTTCGTCCAAGTCCCTCTGTAGGGGGACGCGCCCGACCTGACGTGAATCTTAAGTCGGGCCTGTCCCTCCTACGGGGAATCTTCAAAAAGAGTCCCGAAATAGTCTGGGGACTCTTTTTTGGGGCGTATTTTTGTTGGACCGTTTTGGAGCATTCGCGGAGTCTTTTTTTTTTTGTTGTTCGTCCAGTGTCCCCCTGAAGGCCTGTATCGGGGGAGCGTAAGACCCGGGTTTGCCAGGACTCGGGTTCGCCATCGTTTTTTGACGACCGCGCCTCGGATTTTGACGAGGAGGAGTTTCGTGGGATGTCTGCAGCGGGAGGCCTCGTCAAAATGCAGGGTCGGCCTCGTCATTTTTTTGACGACCTCGTCGGGGATTTCCGAGCCCTCTGTACCCAGGTCTTACGTCCCCCTGACTGTAGGGGGACACGCCCGACTCACAAACCCAACGCTCATCCCTGCTCGCGCGTCCCCGCGAGGGGCCCCTGTAGGGGACTATTTTTTGGGGAAAATGTTTTTACCATTTCGGAGCATTCGTGGAGTACTTTTTATTTTTCGTCCAGAGGGACCCCTGCAGGGGGACACGCCCGACTTACAAACCTAACGCTGATCCATGTTGGACAATTTTGGGGGGTATTTTTGTTGGACAGTTTTGGAGCATTCGTGGAGTCTTTTTTACTTTTCGTCCAGAGTCCCCCTGAAGGCCTGCAGGAGGAGGAGGAGGAGGAGGAGGAGAGCTGGAGCTGGAGGAGGAGGAGGAGGAGGAGGAGGAGGAAGCTGAGGAGGAGGAGGAGAGCTGGAGGAGGAGGAGGAGGATGAGGAGGAGGAGGAGGAGGAGGAGGAGGAAGCGGAGGAAGCGGAGGAGGAGACCGGCCGTTCTCGACACGCCGGAGCCCGCTGGAGCCCGCCGGAGCCCGTAGGGGGACACGCTCATCCCTGCTCGCGCCGTCCCCGCGAGGGGCCCGGCGTCCGGCTCTCCTGCGCGGAGCCTCGTCGGGGCCTCCAAGGGCGACCACGGTCAAAAGTCAGGAGGGGTAAAGACACACAGACACCACGATATCGTCGATCCCCAGGAGAGTATGGGAAGATATGGGAAGTGGGGGGGAGGACGAAGACCCAGAAAAAATATATCAGAAAATGTGGGGGATCCTTTTCTTTGTATGTACTTATTTGTGTGTCCCAGGGCCCCTTCACAAAGGGGGGCGGCCCGATGGCCGGACCGGCGCGCGCCCCCTCCTCGCACAGAAGCCCTGGACCTCGGGGGCGGCGCGATGGCCGGACCTCGGGGGCGGCAAAGAGGGGGGGATAACTAGGGTGGGCTGGATATCATGGCGTGGGCCATGATATTTCCCCAGATTTCATGGCGCTTCTTCTTACTTCATTACGTCCCTGGCCCCCCCGCTGGGCCGCGCACATGCCGCCGGTCATGATTTGCACCCCCCCCTCTTGGACACCCCCTTCCTGGCCGCTCCCGAAGACCGGCGCGCGCCCCATCCTCGCACAGAAGCCCTCGGGCCGTCCAGGGGGGGCCACTCGAAGGAGGGGCAGAGACCCTGCCCTCAGAGGAGGAAAAGGTACCCACATACCTCTACCCTTCCCTCGTTTTTCCCCTTTTTGGGCCTCCTGGGCATTCCTCGTCGCCACCGCTGGATTCGCCTCGAAATCCTGGTCAGAACGCACCCCGGGAGAGGTCCGGGGAGTAGCGGTATCGGTACCTTTTGGTTTCCCCGTTTCCACGGGAGCCGAAGAAGGCAAGACGGTGGGGGCGTTGGTTCAAGAACGTGCACAGTGAGGGAGGGAGGGAGGGGAGGAGGAGGAGAAGGAGGAGGAGGAGGAGGAGGAGGAGGAGGAGGAGGAGGAGGAGGAGCAGGAGGATCAGTGTAAACTTGTGGAGGACGATCAATAGAGAGGAAGCATGTTGCCAAATGATTTCCAGCTGTCTAAAATATGTAAAAGACATGTTCTACACATGCAAACAAGGGGCATTAACGATGTTGGGATGAACCCTCCCTCCAAGCTTCCTCTTTATAGGCCCCTACAACAGTTCATTTTTACTGAGGGTTCCTTACTTGATGAGGGCGTCGCTAATCTCCACTGCCAGTCCGCGATTGGAGTTCCACTGGCCTCCAGACTCTGGATTCCTTATCCAATGCTTCCTTATCCAATGCCCCCACCGAACCCCATAAGCATAACTTTTGGCGCACCGCGCGGGTTTCTTGGATCCATGCTGGGCCCCCCTTGCGGTGCCTCCGGCGCCGCCCCTGGCGCGCTCCGCGCGCCAGGGAGGGGGGTCAGCGCAGATCCAAGAAGTCCGCGCGGAGCGCCAAAAATTCTAAGGCAGCCTACCCCCTGCTCTCTCGGAAGGCCGTCCCCCTCCCTGCCCCCGCCCGAGCCGTGCGAGAGCCGCCTGAGGATGGCGTTTTTTGTCGGGCATGTCCCCCTACAGGCGGATTGTGGAAGAAAAACAAAACATATCCAAACAATATTTACACATATTCAAAAAGAGTCCGAAAGTCGTCCCCAGACGATTTGTTGGACTACTGTTGAATATGCCCCTGGTAGTGGGGGACATGCCCGACTTCAGGATGGCGACAGGCGACGGCGGGAGGAGGCGCTCCCTCGACATCAGCATGGACGAGGACGGCTCCAGCTTCGAGGTGCAGCGGCGCAGCGCCACCGTGTACGTCCGGGACCTGGACGTCCCGTCCTCGTTCCCGAACAGCAGGGACTGGTTCGAGCTCTTCCAAGGGGAGCGAAGCATGACAGAAACATCACAACTCGGAGGTCCGCGCGGATTTTTCGGATCCGCGCTGAACCCCCCTGGCGGCGCCTCCGGCGCTGCCCCTGTTGCGCTCCGCGCGCCAGGGAGGGGGGTCCAGCGCCGATCCGAGACATCCGCGCGGACCTCCGAGTTTTTTTATGTATATGTAATTCTCCGTTCCCCTATCTTCTACGACAGTGCGTACACGCCCCCGAAGTTCTTCCACTTGGTCCTCCAGTGGATCGTGTGCTCCTCCGTGCACCTCGTCCACTTCATGACGCGCCTGGTGGGCCTGGCGGAGAGCCACGGCTACTCCCTGGTGCCGCTCCCGGTGGCACAGCTGTTCCCGCAGCCAGCGCCCCACTGGGTGTGGGGCGGCGACCGGGAGACCAACTTCGACCGCCTCGCGCTCTACCCCAGGAGGCGCCCGTGGAGGGTTTCTCCGAAGGGCTTAGGCGACCCTCCCTCCCGCTCTTCCTCGTCCTCTTTCTCCTCCTCCTCCTCCTCCTCCTCCTCCTCCTCCTCCTCCTCCTCCTCTCCTCCTCCTCCTCCTCCTCCTCCTCCTCCTCCTCCTCCTCCTCCTCCTCCTCCTCCTCCTCCTCCTCTCCTCTCCTCCTCCTCCTCCTCCTCCTCTCCTCCATCCTCTCTCTCCTCCTCCTCCTCCTCCTCCTCCTCCTCTCCTCCTCCTCCTCCTCCTCCTCCTCCCTCCTCCTCCTCCTCCTCCTCCTCTCCTCTCCTCCTCCTCCTCCTCCTCCTCCTCCTCCTCATCCTCCTCCTCCTCCTCCTCCTCCTCCTCCTCCTCTCCCCCTCTCCCCTCCTCCTCCTCCTCCTCCTCCTCCTTCTCCTTCTCCTCCTCCTCCTCCTCCTCCTCCTCCTCCTCCTCCTCCTCCTCGGGCCGCCTATGGCCCCGGGGTAAGCCGTGCAGGCGCATGGCGCTCCCCGCGGGCCTCGACGCGGCCACGCGCGGCCGGCTCAACGCCCGGCTCCTTGAGAGGTGGCTGCGGCGGAAGAAGAAGAGGAGAAGAAGGAGGAGGAGGAGAAAGGAGGAGGAGGAGGAGGAGGGGGAGGAGGAAGAGGAGGAGGAGGAGGAGGAGGAGGAGGCGAGGAGGAGGAGGAGGAGGGGAGGGGAGAGGGAGGAGGAGGAGGAGGAGAAGGAGGAGAAGGAGGAGGAGGAGGCGGAGGGGGAGGAGGAGGAGGGGGAGGAGGAAGAGGAGGAGGAGGAGGAGGAGGAGGAGGAGGAGGAGGAGGAGGTGCTAACTTGCATGGTGTCTCTGTTTCCCACCCAGGTTTGGGGGGCCCCTACACAGCGTACTGAAGCAATGTTGTAGCAAATCCAAAACCTTCTTGCCTTATTTCTCTCCGTTTCTGCGCGCTTCCCCCTTCTTTCTCTCCGCTTCCGCACGCGTCTAAGACTACACTGGTAATTTCTCTGTTATCTACTCTGTCCCTCCTCTCCTTCCCTGCTTTCCACGTCACAACTCCTGGGCCCTCCCTGACTTTCGTCCTTTGAGATCCAAGAGGAGGGAGGAGGCTCAGGTTCGAACATCGAGCCTCGAGGATCAAGCTTCTAGGCTTTCTGGCATTCAGGGGCCTCCCTCGAGGCAGCGTGGAACCTGATGCGTTTGGACCCGAGGAGGGTCCCGGGCCCAGGGACCCGTTGTGATCGGATTTTTGTTTTTGGGGTCATACCTCGTGCTTCGGGCGTCCGGATCTCCGTTCGGGACGTTTCGGGCCCCCCTGGAAAGTTTAATATTCTCGGCGAGGCGTAGCTGATGAAAACCGAAAGAAAACGCTGCGAGCCCGGCCGCCGCCGGGAGCCCGGACTGCCGTTTCTCGCAGCGGGCGCCGCCGCGGCTCAAGGGAGGGCTCGGCCTTGCCGCGCCCGGCGCCCGTGCCACGCCGCTCAGACCTGCGGCGGAGGGGGGGCCCGGAATGCGCGCTGCAGAGGCAAAGTGGCAATGGATTTCTATGCGTGGATTGCGTCCCTACCACCCCGTTTCTCACACAAGGGTCATAAACTGAAAATCGACACGTCTGTACCAATGACAATGAAGATGCGAGGATATGATTGGCAAAGCATACGGCGTGATACTCCTACATCAATATACGGATACAGCAAACTACGTATGCTGAAGCGGTATTCAAAAATGTGTGTCCTCACCGATTGTGCACTTGAGCAACTGCGTTTTTGGGCTTCTATCATTCCAGAGGCCGCCGAAGATGATAATGCAATTATTTTCGAAGTTCTCCACTCGCACCGCTTGGACCCTCCCGAACCATTGCAGCAGTTCAGTGGCAGACGACTCAACGGGACGATCGTGGAAACGGAAGATGGGCAGGGGCCGAGGTTGCACGCCGCTTTGCCAGCGTTGGATTGGAAATCCGAGGACGCATGCGAGATAGCAATCCGCATTCCCTTGCATCATGCTGCATTGTGCTCCGCGGGCAAATGGAAAACAATCCTCGTGCCACATGTTCCTAAAGATGCTATCCGTATCGAGCCCGGGAGAAACACGAGAGGGCCATCTGGAGCACGCATACAGTTGAGTTTGTTAGGGATTGGGGAATCAAGCCTCCCAGCTAGTTCACCGTCGTTCTGCATTTCACGACCCCCAGCGGATATCGAGCTTGACCCTGATTCTTTACGCACGGCAATCGAGTCCATGCAGAATCAGGCCTCCAGGATCGACATTTCTTCGGATCAGGGGAAGTTGGATTATTCTGTCATCGAGCGTGCGGTTGTGCAATTGTCCCGGTTCCACGAATCGATAGACGCTGCCGGATACCTCGCGGAAGTTTTGTGTAAAGGTGGTTCGCGTTGCCTGCATTTTGCTAGGGATGCCGCTGAACATGGCGATGTCGCGTTGGGATCGAAGCAGAAGGTGTACCACATATCGTACCTTTGGCACGTCATGCTTTTGAGTGGGTGCTTGAAGAATACCGGTGGCGACGGCATCAAAGATGTCATGATGAGAGCCGCCGATTTGGTCGTGCCTGCTCCTCTTCGGAACCACATGCGCCAGATACTGGAGGTATCAGCGAAGGCGATTGTACCAAACAGCGGGAGGGGAGGGTCGCGGGGGCCCTGGGCAGCAGCGGGCAGCGCCTGTCACAACATGCAAGCGAGAGGGCAAACAACGGCATCAGCAGACAGAAGCAAAATCACGATAGGAACACTGGATCTGTGGTAGTGCAGTGTCTATGCGTGTGTTACGGGCCATGCGTGCGACATCGTATTAAACAAATGATCATTGCACTTCGTTTGAATTTTGACATTCCTACGTTTGGTTTCAGGGAGGGATCTCGGAGGTCCGGCGCACTAGCTCTAGGATGGAGGGATGAGCGAATGTTTGGCCGAGTAGGATTAGGGAATAGGGTGGAAAGGGAGGACAATATCTCGTTGGCGCTTGCTTCTGGATGGCGCCATCATGTTATGGAGGAGGTCCACCCTGCCGACAGAGGGCCCCTGCGCCCGGTACATGATGGCCGACTCAAGCACGCAGCACCAGAGGCATTTCGAGCACATCATGATGCGGAGTATTCCAATGGACCGCGTGGTTCAGTCTTATCGCTTTGCCAGGGACCTGAGTCAAATGTGGTAGCCCGGGCCCATTCAGATCTTTGCTTCTTTTGTTTGCGTGCGCATGTGTGCATGTGTGCATGTATATAGTCTAATCCCCTCCTCTTCCCCCTTTTCCTCCTCCTCCTCCTCATCATCATCATCATCATCATCATTCTCTTACTCTTGCTGAGCAGACCACTGGGCGCGGACTTCTGCTCAGCTTTTGTGTCCTGTCACTCCTGCCCCTTCGCTCCTTTCCTCCCCTGAGGTTGGTTCCCCAATATCCTCAGAGCCTGGGGCCCCTGTAAGCGGGGTGGGAGCCAGCGGAGGGGCTGGGGCCTCTCTGTGTCGAATATGTGTCGGGATGCAATCGATGCTCTTTCGCCTGGCGCGCAGCTTGGCCAACTGTGCCGCGCGATTGCAGTGTGAGACAGCGTAGCGCACGCATTACTTTTAAACGACATATTGCCCCCATGTCTTCATGCCGCGCATGCGCCAGGTTGCTGTGCAGCCAGGGCCCGACCGACGACCCGCCCCTGGCCGATGATAAATATTACATGGAACGAATATCCAGCTCGGTGAGTTTGCACCATTTCCCATTGATTCCACTTGCCAGTGGACGCACAACATTGGCTGATCTGTTCACTGCTGTTATGCACGCGTTTTTCCTTGAGTCAGGTACAACATTAGATACATGGGCATCGTTTTGTAAAGAGTTCGTGTCCAACACTACGGACTTGGGCGCCGAGTTCGGGCTTGCTTCAATTGAACCGATCAGAGCCAGAGAATTGTTTCCATATTTGGAGCCTGTGGCAGATGAGCAGGAGGGGCGGGCAGGGGGGGGGAGTGGCAGCGGCGGCGCAGGCGCAGGCAACGGCGACGGCAGCGGCGGCGTACAGGGAAGGGTTCGGTCCGCAGCAGGAGCGGAGCGATGGGCAATGGGCAGAGATATAGACAAGATGGGAGGGGGGGCCAGGACACTGTGGACGACTGGGACGTCATCCCAGACGGGCCGCGTCGATGTCCGGAGGTTGGGCTTACCCAGGCTTTGTCAACGCCAGGTGTTCTGCATATTCTTCATAATGCTGCAAATGACCTCATGGATGTGTGCCCGCAGTTTCATGCTGCTGTTGATGGTTTGCAGGAGGTGTGCAAGATGGTATATGAGAAAGACAGTTGCGAACGATTGTGCGAGACATGTTTCCAGGACCAGCCAGTGGGTGTACTTCTACAGAAAGATTTGAAAAAGTTCGATGCCAAGGTGAATGTGAAGCGCTGGGGATCGGTTGCTTTTGCGCTCGCTGAGATTTTCACTATCAAGCACATTCTCAGATCTAGGTGGAACAAAACAAAGTTCGTTGGCGACAGCAAATCGAAGCACATAAAAGTAGACGTTGTGGATTCATGCATAAACGATCTTGAGTGGTGGAACAAGTTGGCAAGTCTGGACAAAGTGTACTTTTTGGTCCGTTGGTGTTTCGATTTCGTTGAAGGTTGCCCCTGCCACCGCGAGTTGAACTGGCAAGATTTCCCCGCGGAGGTTCGGAAGAGATGGGCAACATGCCCGTGCGCAGGGTGCACGCTGCCAGAAATTGCATGTGGCGATTTTTTCAAGGGCTTCAAACAAGTGTGTGTTTTGTCAGCTCACTCGCTCCGGGGTGATCTTGAGGCGGGGCTCAGCAATGCGCATTATGCTGCAATGCATCGTGAATTTGAACAGGCCCGATCCCACTTACTACTAACCCTTGTTCTGAAGCTTTCGTGCGTGCGCGAGCCACCTCTGCTCCTGTACGGCACGGCTCATTTTGACCGTCGCAAACGTTCAACTGCATTGAAAGTGTGTCTGCGGTCGAGCAGCCAACACCCAGTTATCAAGCAACTGCAGGCCCCTCCTCTGAAAGAAGAGGCCGAGGCTTTCTTGCGAGGCACCCACGAGGATGACCTGCCGCACCGGAGCGCTTTCACGATGCAATTTTTCTGGGCGTTCGCCACAGAGAGGCGCGTCGAAGGGGGTCATGCCACAGTCAATAGGAGGACTCATGGGGCTAGATCTCGAACCGAATCTTATGACAGCTTGGTGTTGAGGTTGCCAGATATGGTGAAGGAGGTGAGTCGCGGCCACAGCGTGAGCGACGATTTCTTGTCCATCCTCGGTCAGGCTAGGAATCCTGCGATGCTTGTCGAGAAGTTGGGGATGCATCATCATCCAGCTTGCTCCTGGGCCAAGGATAACTGGGATCCCATCTGGAGGAAGATTGTTTATCGCAGCGATCGGTATTCCAGCTTTCGCTCCAGGCCAGTGGTTACTACTGCGCCGCCAGATGTACCTGGGCCTGGGCAGGGGCCGCCCTCGATGTTTGTGAACCCAGCTACTCCCGATGGCCCCGGGGTGTCGGGGGGGGGCATGATCGAAACCAGCAAGGTGGTTGCAG